TAATAGGATACTAATAGGGTTAAATTTGGCAACCCTTATTGAATATCACTTTACTTATGTTGTTCAGAGTCATATTTAAAATATATCAATGCGCAAATTTACCAGTTCTACCAACAATTCCAATCTTTTCTGCAGGTTTAATGTGGAATGAAATATCTTTTAATACCGGAGGGTTATCAGGTGCATATTGCATAACAAGATTTTTAACTTGAATATCTCCTCTTGAAGGCCACTCTGATGGTGGGCGATGACCTTCGATAATTCTTGGTGGTTCTTCTTCCAATTCCAGGTAATCTTGGATTCTCTCAACTGAAAAATTCAAAATAACAGAGTTAAAATATGAAAAAAAGCAACATAAATATAAACAATGGAACTTACTTGAATTCATATTCATCTCCTGAATGGCATACATGCGAATAACCCAAATTACATGTCCGGTGAAATTTAATGCATTTATCAATGCGAAACCTGCTAAACCAGGATCCATTCCCTTTGAAAGATTATATACAATAATAGCAGCAGTGGAAAGTCCAACTAGGCCACCTGAGATATCAACACGAGTATGAAGCCATCTATTGCATGCCCAATTGAATATGAACGGTCGATTATTGTTATCTACGAGACGTAAAATTCTTTTCATCAATCTTTTTTCAGCACCAAATGCTCTGATAGTAGATACGCCTATTATGGTCTTTATGTATTATAACATATGGATATAGGTAATAAGCAAAAACAATACATTAACATCTAAATCAAGAATGGTAAAGTATTTACCTCGCCAAATGCTGCATATATTGGAGACCTACTAACAGATTCCAGACCTAAATAATTATATGTAAATAAATTGTTGCAATCAAAATAACTGAAAAAAAATGATACATAAATGGACAGGTATCTTACGTTTTAAATCTCTGGAAGCAGCTATATAATATGCACCAATAACTATATAAATTACTGCAATGAAAGCACCAGCTATTAAGAATTGAGGCATTACAATTGAAATGACAAAAATCACCGAAGCGGTAGAAAAGCACGAATAAAGAAGAAACATAACAGCAGGAGAGATGTTTTGGTCAACTGTTTCCATATCTTTAGAAAATCGATTCAGTATTCTTCCTTCAAAAGTTTAACATATATTATTAAGTGCATAAATTACACGAAATCAATATAACTTAAATATACGTATATTACCTATTGGTGTTGTGTCATAAAATCTAAGTGTTGCTGACAGCACCTTATCTAACATATCACTATGTAACTTCTTAGAAGCCATCAGAGAACCAATGAACAAGTAATATGCCTTGAAAGACGTTAATATGGTGGCCACCAGTCCAATTAATGCATAAACCCAAATATAATAATTAACATTAAGGGGTTTATGGGTCTCTTCTAATATATTTACTGATGATAAGCGATTGATTAAAGAATGATTGAGGGAAGGGGGTGAGACGTAAGATAATGCCAAATTTTTCGTAGTGTGATGTAAATTGTCTAGTAAAAGAGAAGTGAAACTCCATGATATGGTCGTAGCAAATTGATGGATTTGATTATAGATATCATTATAAGCTTTAGTCCATTCTTGAACCCACCAATCTGAATAAAGTCATAAGAATTATTAGTAATATTGCATTGATATGTTACCCAGTTAAATGAAAGTTAAAAAATCAACCTTGCCCGACATAAATAATCTGTGTCACTACGAACAAAAGAAATACTGACAACCAATACCAAAATCCGCCAGATGCTACCAAATAGAGTTTGTAATACTTCCATTCAACCACACCGACAGCTCTTGTTTCCTCAGAAATCAGTCGTCCATCGCCTTCACGAATATTTTTATTGATTTTCTGAGATTTGGCATCTATAACATCCTCAACAGAGGTCTTTAATTCTTCACCTTCAAAAGTCACATCGTCCAACAGTCCCGTAGCTAAAATCTCTTTTACAGATCCCTCAGCCGATATTCGACCATCTTTCATAACTACAACTTTAGCAGCACCACGAAGACATAATCCTACGTGATGTGTAACAAGAATACGGGTGCGGTTTTTCATCAAATTGCCCATCAAACATTGTTCAAATATATGTTTAGCGGTGTGTGAATCAACAGCTGTATAGTATGATAAAACGTAAGTTCAGAATGTGTAATATGTATATTATATTATAAATAAATTTACCAGATAAGCAATCGTCTAAAATTATTATTTTAGCTTGGGAGTAAACGGCTCTGGCTAAAGCGACACCTTTAATAAAAAGAATAAAATCATAATTTCAATCTCAATTTTCAAATTATATACACATGATTCTAGTTAATTCTTACGTTGTTTTTGACCACCACTAAGCGTTATTCCTTTTTCACCAATTTCTGTTTTATCCCCAAATTCAAGAATCTCCAAATCTCTATCGAGGGCGCAAACACGTAAAACCTCCGAGTAAGTTTCGGAATCAAATGAAAGGCCAAATAGGATATTATCTTTAATAGAAGCATTCTGGAGCCACGCTAAAAATTTTTTTTTTTTTTTGTCAGCTAAAGAATTGATACATATATGTGTATATTATAAATGTATAAGGAAGTGAAATTACCTGTTTGAGAAACGTAAGCAATACCACTCGGCGCACCTCCCAATTTATTTGAAGATTCTATATTCGTCCTAGGTAAGAACACACTGCCGTCTAAACAATCCATTTCCCCTAATAATGCCATCAATAGGCTTGTTTTCCCACTACCCGTAGGTCCGCAGATTATTGACAATTCGTTGGCAGGAAAAGATACATTTAAATTTATCAAAGTGAATTTATTCGATTGATTTTGCGCATTTAAGTCTATAGAAACGGAAGAATTGTCTATGGAATCTTCACCATCTGGCCACCGGAAAGTTGCTTTTTTAAATCCAATATAGGGATCATTAATACTTGGGATAGAACTTTTGCGATTAAGTTCTGGTTCGTTTAAAAACTTTTCGATACGAGAAATTGAAATACGAGCTGCATAAATTGTATGTGTTACATGTACATTCGTTAAATTTTAAGGTTTAGTAAGATCAATAAAAGACAAATAATTAGAACACACCTTGAATAACGGCAGTAATCATTGATGGCATTTCGTCAAGGGCATGACGAAGATTATTAAATAGTGCAAGGGCGGTAAATGCAACAGCAGCAGTCAACTCCTTTTAACAAAAATTGATTAAGTATGAATACAACTTGATAAGACAACTAATAATAAAAAATCGATGTTTACGTTGCCTAATAATTTTGTATACGTAATGAACACAGCCAACATTATAATAAGAGGTAAACTCGTCCAAAGGCAACACATATAAACCCATTCCATTAACCGATCTTTGACTTTCTTTAACTCGTTATCACGAGCGCTAATAACCGTTGCTCGAAAGTGGTCTTCCCATGCAAAAAATTTAATGACACGAATGGCTTGTAACAACTATTAATAAAAGTAAATATGGTTGAATTTGTGACGAAAGCAAAAAATTATCAAGCTCGGAAAGTATGATGTAGCTATAACCTCGTTAATCACACCCATTCGCTTATCAGTTGCGGCCATAACACGTTTATGAATAATTTGAAACCTCTAAAATTATAATTTACAAATCAATGTCTAATTAATAAATAAAATAAAATTATTTAATAAATAGAATAAATGTTATTTAATATATACCTGATTAATAAAGGCTGGTATTGGATATATTATAATTATGGCCAATACGCCTGCCAAGGCTGACACACCAAGCAAGGAGTATAAGAACAATATGGTAATGATGATCTGCACTGGATAGGAATATACTAAAGGATAAAAAATTTTAGAATAATTTTACGTTGCAAACCGGAGTAGGATAAATTTATTGGAACTCACAATAAAAAACGTATGCCGCTAATTCCGAGACTTTTTGTGCATCAACAGCCATAAGATTAGTTATCTTTCCAGTTTTATTTTTAGATTCTTCATTTTCAACAACGCCTGATGTATCTTTTCGAGATAGAGATTTCATGTATACTTCACCAATGATTATTGCCTACAATAATTAAAAGGCAAAATTGTTGGTGACAGAAAAACTTAAAAACGCTTGGGTCAATATTTTTATCTACCTGGCACTTCACACTCAGGTGGCGGCCAATATATAATGCCTGTTGGAAGCACAAACTTGGCACCACTGTTCCAAAAAATAATCCAAAAGCATATGAATAAGCAGTTACATGTGACTCTTCATGATTTGAATAGTTTTGAACATATAATAACAATTTTTGGATAAAATAAGGCGGTACAAAAGAATAAATCAGAGTCCAAAATATTGCGTAAATCAATTGAATAAGAAGCTCTTTTTGAGAGGCTAAGATTAAAGACTTGGTGATAGAGGATTTTTTAGAAGAGTGAAAGGTTTTCAATATATTTTTAGCTCTAGCAAAACTAGGTAACTCTAAAATATCTTCATCATTAAGGGTAGACCGAAAGCCCTTGCTGATTAACGGATTGACCCACGAAAATGTGAATTTATCGTAAAAGGAGCATTTCATCTCAGGGGACGGGTAACGGCCCTAATGAATATGAAATTAGATTTTGTTCAAGCAAACAATTGAGGCTAAACAAATAGAGCGTCGACAAAATACCTCAGCATTTGGTTTTGAGAGCAATTGAATATCATCTTGAGGTTCCGATATCGAAAAGCAAACCAAGATGGATGAAAAACCAAGAATCAATAATTTGAGATAATATTCTGAGTTGAAATCTGTACCAAACTTCAGATAAAGAGAATGAATATTTGCTATTGAAGAAACTAAAGTAAGAAAGTATAGCAAGTTTAAGTGTCCACGGATATGAAGAACACTACGCTGCTGTGAAACAATGTTAAACACCGCTAAGATTGTTGCATAAGCCTAAAATAATGTATATTAAAATTATTAATAGTTTACAATTCAAAATAGACAATTTAAACAATAAACACGCACCCATATGATAGTTTCTAATATAGGAGTCGCAAGCCAATAATTTCCATGTTGATTCTCATGATAATCTTGCCGTCTTATTATGGCAAGGAAACCAAATAACAAGCATATCACGATACTGATAACAAGCCGGGTACCATCGAAGAGCATATTTTTAGAAGTCTGATTGCCAACAAGAGTTTCATCTGAATAATCTGAATTATCATCAGAAACATCCGAATCTATTTCGTTGTCATTGATCAATTCGGATCGTTCAATAGAGCCGTAATTTGAATTAAATTGACTATTATATAAACGTTCATATTCTGGTCCTTTATGTCGCCTCAATTTAAGATAAGCAGTTATGAAAATACACAGTGAAGCAGTTGAATATAGTGATAAGACTCCAGCGTCGACCACACTAATTTTTGTCGGATAAAAAGTCAGATATACGAAAATAAAAAATAAATCATAATAAATTATTTACACTTCTCGAAAGCAATCCGTAAAATCATTATTTTGCCACGGTCCCTAAAATACGTATATGGTACGACAAACAAGAATATAAATAAATGTTAAGAACATTAGGGCTCTTGTTAAAAAGAAAGTTTGTTACCCAAGGATCGCTGC